GGTAACAAAAATATCGTCGCCGATTACGGCACCCAAGAGCTCGAAATTCTGTTATAAACGTAGCCGCCCGTCAGGGTAGCAAAGCAAATCATGGGCAAGGTACTAAGCCAACTCGGAGTCCGGCACAAGCCCCACTCCAACCACTTCACAATTCAAAATTAATTTAAAAAAATACAAAATACATATTTATTAATTTTATTATAAAATATATATATATAAATTATTATTATTAAATTATTAATAATTTTTATTTATATATATATATATATTTATATAAAATAAAAAATATTTAAGAATTATATCCTTCAAGAATTATTATATTTTTTTCACCTAAATATCTGTTTATTCCTTTTAAATCAATAATATAATTATTTTATTTTTACAAAAAATCTCCATAAATAGTATTTCTTTGATATCATTAAAAACCGAAAAATATAGATCTTTGGGGTAATAATATATATGGTGCAACGTTGGCCACCCCCCCCCCACACCAATGGGTATGGGTATACAATATCCTCTAGTTCTTCTGGTCCCCCCCCCCTGTGGCCTGTAGTGGTGGTATCTATCTATGTATGTATGTATCTATGTATCCATGTATGTATCTATGTATATATGTATGTATATATGTATGTATGTATGTACGTATGTATCTATCTATGTATATATCTATATATCTATGTATATATCTATGTATGTATGTATGTATCTATCTATGTATATATGTATATATGTATGTATATATGTATGTATGTATGTATGTATGTATGTGTCTATGTATATATGTATATATGTATCTATCTATCTATGTATGTATCTATGTATCTATGTATCTATGTATCTATGTATCTATGTATCTATGTATCTATGTATCTATGTAATGTAATGTAATGCAATGCAATGTAATGTAAATACATACATACATACATACATACATAGATACCTAGACATACATACATACATACATACATAGACATACATAGACATACATAGACATACATAGACATACATAGACATACATAGACATACATAGACATACATAGACATACATAGACATACATAGACATACATAGACATACATAGACATGCAAAGACATACATAGACATGCATAGACATACATAGACATGCATAGACATACATAGACATACATAGACATACATAGACATACATAGACATACATAGACATACATAGACATACATAGACATACATAGACATACATAGACATACATAGACATACATAGACGTACATAGACGTACATAGACGTACATAGACGTACATAGACATACATAGACATACATAGACATACATAGACATACATAGACATACATAGACATACATAGACATACATAGACATACATAGACATACATAGACATACATAGACATACATACCATACCATACCACACCATACCATACCGTTACATACCATTACATACCGTTACATACCGTTACATACCGTTACATACCATTACATACCGTTACATACCATATACCATTACATTACATTAATACATACATACATACATGCATGCATGCATGCATGCATACATACATTACATTACATTACATTACATTACATTACATGACATGACATGACATGACATGACATTACATTACATACATACATACACAGGGGTATCATACCCCCCCCATCCCATGGGGGGGTGGGAACACGGGACACGGAACCATATATATATATTTATATTATATTTTCTTGTGGAATTCTTTATTCAATAAATTTGTATTAATAGATCTCGCCATCGTCTCAGTGCACCTTCCATCCTGGCCCCATCTTTGCAGGTCCGCCATGGAATACGCTGGGGATAGACATGGCTTTGTTTGGAATTGGGGTATACTATGGTATACTCACAATTTATGGACAATTCAACAATTTTTCATCATTTTAAATAGGGAACATCATGACCAACACTAGGATTCTTGAGTCTTCCTCCATTTCTTTTTGCAAAAACCCACTTGAAACTGCACCATCCTCCCTGTGTTTGGGGTGTTCAATCAACAAACCAAGAGAAGCAGCTCTTATTGTAAAATGAGATGATGATATAATGGGGATTCAGGGGGATATATCTTATGGTGAGAGAGATTAATATTATATACATATCATTATTTGTGTATATATATAATGCTTTATCATTGACAACACTACTGTATACACATTCTACATCCATGATATCTACTACCGTGCCACCGTGCCGTGCCACCCCATGATTTCTCGTCGCTGCACCAAGCCGGGTCCTGGCACTTTGTGTGGCCTGAGATTTCGGGCGTGGCTATCCTCATCCCATGGAACCAGCCGGATGCCAAAGGATGAAATATAAAAACCATGGCATCCCGGATCTCAAGTTTGAGTGAAACTTGTAGGTGGTATCATTGCAAGCTTTTTTTGTCCGATCTTTCCATTTTTGGTCCGCAATCCCTTTTAGGATCTTTTAGGTGGCCACAATCTGTGGCAATTCCATCCCTGCCTGCTCCGCAATGGACAGGGTCCCACCATGGCCAGCCCTTGCACCATGCAATTTCCACCGTTCATGATGTTGATGTGGGGGATACACGTTTGAAGTTATTCGTCATATATGTTGAAAAACATCTGCCAAATGCTGCGAAATATGCTTTGCAACTAGAAAATACTCATGATCAATGTGTTCATCTCCGGAATCATTGCATCACAGGACCAATAGTAGCAGTATATCATGAAACCGGTAGAAAAGAATATGTACACATGCATATGTATATATATACAGTTATATACACGTATAAGTATGTATAACTAAACACAGTATCCAATGTTACTGTATATATATATGTCACGCAATATATTTATATATATACATGTATTTGTAAATATAATCAAAACACATAAAAAATCTAACATTAACTATGAATATAAATAGTACTGGCTAGTCATACATATATACATACATATAAGTTATAATATATATATATATGATATGTAATGTAAATACAATGTAAATGTAATGTAAATGTAATGTAAATGTAATGTAAATGTAATGTAAATGTAATGTAAATGTAATGTAAATGTAATGTAAATGTAATGTAAATGCAATGTAAATGCAATGTAATTGTAATGTAAATGTAATGTAAATGTAATGTAAATGTAATGTAAATGTAGTGTAAATGTAGTGTAAATGTAATGTAAATGTAATGTAAATGTAATGTAAATGTAATGTAAATGTAATGTAAATGTAGTGTAAATGTAATGTAAATGTAATGTAAATGTAATGTAAATGTAATGTAAATGTAGTGTAAATGTAGTGTAAATGTAATGTAAATGAAAATGCATTGTAAATGTAATGTAATGTAATGTAATGTAATATTACGTATGTATTTTTATAATACATATATATATATATAACAGAACCACCTCCTTCCCCAGGCCCCACCTCGCAAAGCGCAGCACCTTGCTGATCAGCGAGAACGCTTGATGCAGCTCCTGATGTGGAACATAACCAGGGGCAACGGGTTATCGGATGGCACCAGTTCTTGTTGCACATGTTTTAAGATGTTTTAATGTTGTTTCCAAGTGGTTTCATGGAGAATAGAATGGGAAGTTCATGGTATTGTCTTAAGCAGCAAAACTGGGACATAACGGGGGGTAAACATGGTCGAACCAAGACACAACATTGCATCCATATCAACAAAACCCAGCTCTATTGGCACTTTAGCAGGTGTGCTTGATGTTTGTGAATGTAGAAAGCAGCACAAATGGATTACAAATGGTCAAACGGCTTCGATCATGGTCCAGAAAAACACCATGGCAAATCAACATAAATCAACTGCTGTTTTTCCTGCTGACATCCTCCAATTTCCGGGCATCGCCCATTGGGGGAACGCCAGAGTTGTCCTGTCTTTGCTCCAGGACCTGGGGCCTGGCAGTCCGTTGGACAGGGATGACTGCCTTGCTTGGTACATGGCGTTGATATAGGAAGAGTGGTGACAAAATGTGACAAACCATGGATTTCGTTTGTTTTTCTCCCTCTTTCCCTCATTTTTTCAGAACGAATATGAAGATGAGGGATGCATCTTGAATCTGAAATACTCATTGCGGCTTTAGCAACATAGTCGAAGGGCAGTCAAGCATGGCAACTGCTGGGCAACATATTATATAAATATCGCATCGTTGGAAATTGACAGACTTCGAGAAGCCGAGGTTGAGTGCCCTCTCAGAGTGCAGGCAAGGATTTGTTCTTGGATTTGAGTAGAAAATCTTTCGCAAGGTTTTCTCTTATCACTGGTTGGTGGTTTCAACCATCTTGAAAAATATTAGTCAATGGGAAGGATTATCCCATATATTATGGAAAATAAAACATATTTGAAACCACCAACCAGATCATCTATTATCCGATTGCACCGTAAAACCGCCAGGGAGCTGCAGCAACCACACTGACATGACCCTGGGGGCCTTTCTGGCAGGCTCTTTTGACGCATCTGCACAGCCTGATCGTCTGATCATTGTTCTGCCATGGAGAAACATTTTGCGGTGCCAATGGATGGAAATTTATGGCTATGGAGTCAAGTTAAACTTCTGCCCCTGATAATCCCTGATAGTCCTTGACCTTCAGGACATGCCTGTGGCCGGTCGCACCAGTGCGTGCGCCTTGCAAATCACTGATGAGCTCAAGATGACGTTCTTGAAAGGGGGCCTTGCTGCCCACACCAGCAGAGACTGTGGTCGACCAAAAAAAGGCAATGATCTGGATGAACTCCACTTAAACATTCACTGTCATTCACTGACCTGAATTAACGCCATTTTGTGATAGTGACCCATACGTCATCATTCCAGTGACATGGCAGTGAGGTCGCTATAATCTATCCGGAATGATTTACTTCTTCCCTCTCCTTTGTTCCTAATGTTTGGCCCCCATACCGTGCAGAAAATCATACTCCAGGCTGGTCCGGCGATCAAACATGATCGGCATCAGGCGCACAACGCAAATGTTGAACAAAATTAGATGATTGACAGTTGATGAGTTGATGTCAAATGCACTTTAGCTTTTGCAACCAATAGTTCCTCCGGAAGGAACTGCCAGAATTCCACAAAGAGAAACACAACATAACACAACTTTGACACAGCAATCAACTCTACTTATTCTATATACCTCATACGTACCATTGTCAAAACATTGTATGTGGATTGTGGTCATTCCACCCATCATAAGGGATTCCATACAATGGGTGTATAAATTCCTATCAATGGACTGACCATCCCCCCAGCTGTTGATATGTAATGATATGTAGGTATATCAACCTTTGACCATGGCTATGGTTGAGACATTTTGACACATCCTGAATATTGATACCACAATACGACACAATTGGCAAATCGCTTACCCAACCCCGTTGCTAACACTGACCCCTGGGTGATCGCTGCTGCGGCTGCCCTGCAATGTCAGAAAGTTGCCGTCCCGACGGCTCCTGAATTGTTCTCTGGGTATCTCAACCTCATAACCTCTGCTGGTTGGTGGTTTTAACCATCTTGAAAAATATTAGTCAATTGGGATGATTCTTCCCAATATATGGAAAAATAAAAAATGTTCCAAACCACCAACCAGATACATATTTGCAAGGAGCATCACCATCAATCCAAAACACTCTTCCTCCGGTTTAGGTCAGGAAGGAAACTGGAATCAAACAAGAGTGCCGTGGTTTCGGGCAGGGAAAAACACAAGCACTCAACATGTTAAACCAAATCAAACAATTTTTTCACACCCACAAAATTCGTACCATTCACCATCCATTTGCAATCACATCTTACTACACCTAGTCACACCTTACCACATCTTGCCGCATCTTACCCGACTCTTCCCGTCCTGCCAAAGCAGCTTGTTGAGCTCCCCCAGCATGATCACCCCTGGCAGTCGATCCGAGACGGTCCAAAATGATATCCAGCTGGTATAAGACGTGGTTATCTCGTATTTTTGGGTAAAACACATCGTTTATAAGGATATTTATAATGGATATATATATATATATTATACATATATATATATATGGGTATGGCTCAAGAAACGGGTATGGATCGTTCCGCGGTGATCCGGACGTATGGAACGAGGAGTTGTCAGCAAGCGTTTGATCCCGGACCTTGTCATAAGGGCTTACATGGATATGAATATAATCTATTATCATCTAATATTATTTAGATATAAATATAATTACTTTACTTCGTGTGATCCCCACCATGACATTTATACATTTTGTTACTGGCAAATCTTCTGGCATTCTATCTGACATATTTTCTGGCATTCGATCTGGCATTCTATCTGGCATATCTTCTGGCATTCTACCTGGCATATCTTCTGGCAGATGTTCTGGCATATCTTCTGGCAGATGTTCTGGCATATCTTCTGGCATATGTTCTGGCATATCTTCTGGCATTCCATCTGGCATTCTATCTGGCATATCTTCTGGCATATTATCTGGCAAATCTTCTGGCATTCCATCTGGCATTCTATCTAGCATATCTTCTGGCATATTATCTGGCAAATCTGCTGGCATTCTATCTGGCAAACATTCTGGCACTTATCTGGCATATCTTCTGGCATTCTAGCTGACATTCTATCTGGCATTCTATCTGGCATACCTTCTGGCATTCTATCTGGCATATCTTCTAACATTCTATCTGGCATATCTTCTGGCACTCTATGTGGCATATCTTTTGGCGTGGATACTCGCGGTTGAGGTCCGGCAGGGAACACTGGGCGTGGATGGTCGTGGTTGAGGTCCGACAGCGAACACTGTGGATCGCGAGTCGCAGTTGAGCAGGAGGACGAGGAGGACAACGAGAGGAGGAGGAGGAGAGGAGGACGAGGCAGGAGGAGGCGGCAGGAGGAGGAGGAGAAGGAGGAGGAGAAGGAGGAGAAGGAGGAGGAGGAGGCAACTGACATAAAATCTAACAACCCTCACCTGGCAGGTGGGGAAATATAGAAATAAATACATACATATATAATAGAAATACATATGCACATATCTATATTTCATGATTTCATCAGAGGCATGGCTGCAACATAGAGAGGATGCGGGAGATATCTGACATGTTGAATACACTTGAATATCAACAAATGGTGGTGATGGGGGATGGGTCCTACATGGCATGATTCGGGTATGGAACGGGTATGGATCGGGGTATGGAACGAAATGGACCTGAATTTCTAAAATTTCTGGCTGATTGTTTTGGTGGTAGATTCAAAATCTAATTCAATCCCTTTGCTGGAACGGAAACCAATCGTGAATAACCCTCGGCTGATTTGGTGGATATTGTGGTGTTCATAACCCCTCACAACCTCAAGTATACTTTAAATTGCAGATTGCGAGCCATCATACCAACACAAACATAAATTCCTTTATGGTAGCACTAGCGACAAACCAGCTCCAACACATCCCTTGGTCATATATTTCGTGGACACCGTAAATTCCATTGCCCCTGAATCTACTGTATAACATTTAAAAAAGTGTATGTATGTACATATATATATATATGTATATGTGAATCTATCTATGTATAGATTTACATATTATATATACTCATTTTTTTTCAATCTGAATGTGTATATATATATATACATATTTAGATCACATGCATCAAATAGCTGGCCCTGACCCCTCACTCAAAACGCAATGCGTGAAACAGAAACTGAAGAATCCCATAGGTACAACTCAGAAACAAAACCAATACATGCCCAGGATTTGCAATTACTGAGGTATGGATCATGGGTATGGATCATAGGTACGAGTATGGATCATGTCCTCTAAAGGGGTATGGATCATGGGTATGGATCATGGGGTATGGATCGCATGTGGTCCCGGGGTATGGATCGGAACCTTACATTTTGAGCTGCAGCCATATATATATATATGATTATACATAATAATATATACTGATACTACCACACGTAAGGATAGCTATCACAACTAGCAGAGTGCTGGTCAGATAGCCCATTATAGATCGCATTAAACCGCCCATTATCATAAGTACTAGATACGGAAAAAATACCACTTCCAGAAAACTGTGGGGTTTCAATATCTGTGTTTGATATCGTGGTGTATCCCCCATATATGTTGGTTAAATCATGCTAAATCCCATACTTTATCAGTTTCCTAGGTTTCCCCTCTTTGTTCATAGCATTTGTCAATTTCCATTGTATCCCTTCCTTGGAGGACTATCCCACTTAATACTCCTACTTAGCAAGTTGATGACTGGGTAAACTGCAAGGCAAACTGCAAGTTGGAGTCCCCTAGGTAGCTAAGTTGGTTTGTAGCTCCACCAAGTATACTTTAAGGTAATTACACCTATAGTTAATGGGGTGGTATATCAACCAACCTATACCCTGGGGTAAACTAACATAGCTGTGGAAAATCATTGGTTTTCCACATTGTTCTGTAGGTTTACCCTAGGATAACGGAGGGCGCCACCCTGTAACGCCTGGAAAGTTCGGGGGACACTCCATCTGTCGTAGCTCGATGTCATCAGTGATGACCAGCACTCGCCCTGTGCCAGGATCCAAATGGTGGCCCGTTGGTAGGGTTTCACCAACAAGAATGACTGGTTGGGGGTTGACCTACCCCTCTGAAAAATATTCAGATGGGAGGATTATCCCATATATTATGGAAAAATAAAAAATGTTCCAAACCACCAACAAGAATGAGGCTATTCAACATTTTGGACATGATTTTCATCACCTGAAGATTCAACGGAGTGGTGCAGGATAAATTTTGATCCCCGGGATCCTTCTGAGCTATGACCATGGATCAAAACCCGATCAGTACCAGTTCAAAGTAGCTGCTGTTTCGGGAGATTTGATAATTCATTCCCCCCATGGTACAATAGAGCGATTCCTATCCTGATTTCAATATCTTCAATATCTTCGATCCATTTGGGTCCCCATTTCGGTCCCAACAGCTCATGTTTTCCCGTCCTGGCGCTTCTGCCCTGCCATCAATAGGGTCAATAGGGTGGGGAACATCATCTATACATGGGGAATCATGGATATACTTGGATCTGTCAACAAGAATATGTAAGGTATACATAATGTATATTATATACCTCAATAATTGGTGACTTTGATATGTTAATAGGGAAATCATCATAAATCAGTGGATTGAGTTTGGAACAACCCAAATGCAAATCAGGAGATACAACAGAGATATTGAATAAAGACTGCGATGCATCCAGCTCAAGTGGAGAACAGTTGGAGATGACCAAGATTGGCATCACGGGTGGTACCCAGCTTTTAACCTCTACACAAATGCGTTGATGACCAAGAAACAGTGAAATCGCATCTGTGGTCGTGAGTTTTTTTTGTTTCGGACATGGTGAACATGATTCATTCAACCTGTGATACCTATATTGACTGCAAAGAGCGCAGTCTACTTTCGTCCCTGCTTCACCATCACCCTAAACTGACAGAGTTTTGCCATCGTCAGCAGGTTAACATCGAAGTCCAAAGGTTTGAGAAACCATCGACAAATCAGCAGTTTACTTCGTTCCCAGGTAAAAATACCTGATCCAATCACCATTTCAGCTATTAAACTTAAAACCATTCAATTCAAGCCACACCACCATATCTTATAGATGTTTTATGGTGGTTAAACCATGTTAAACCCCTTTAAAAACGGCGTGGCATGGATCTGCATTCGTTAAAGTCAACTTCCCATCCATTTCTTTCTCGCTTCCAAGCTGCGAGTCTTGCCTGGGGATTGACAGACGGGGTGGGGATTGTTTTCACTAAGTCATATGGAGGTTTCCTGAAAATGGTGGTACCTAAAATGGATGGTTTATAAGGGAAAATCCCTTTAAAATAGATGATTTCGGGGTACCCCGATTTTAGGAAACCTCCACATGAAGTAAGGGGAAACCTATACTGTAAATACTAGGTCAAATATGGATTATTTTAATGGGGAATCTATCAAACCAACTAGGCTTAATCAATTTTGATTATATATGGTTTATTTTGATATGGGAAACTGTCAACCAACTAGGTTTAATCACTTTCAATTATGGGTTATTTCAATATGGGAAACTATTAGGTTACCCAACTCCTATTCATGAGCTGAGATGGGATTGGAAAGGGGTATTTTTGATGGCCCAGCTCTCCTTGCAAGAACAACGTTCGAGTTCCTTCTCCCTACATTGATTGGTAACATACCCGTTGGAGATATGATGAGAGTGTCCAGAACTGGGCACTCCAACCAGATGGATTCTCTGGCATCCCCTATGGAGACACCAACATAGTCCAATGTTTGCTGGTTACATCCCCATGTTCGGCTTCCCGTTGAGAATGGGTATCTCAGTTCAAGCCGTCCCGGTGCCCATCAAGTAGAGGTACATTCTGTGTGTATACATTAAACAAATTTAAAAAATGTGCACAATTATTTGTTTGCATATATTACGTACATATTATTGTAATTTATTGCATGTCTGTATATACTATATACGTAACATGTACCCTGATCGTGTGTTTACGCAAAAAAAAACTTGTCACCAAGCCACCAGATCTTGGCGAAGTCAAGGACCTTCAACGATGCAAGGGAGATGTGAAAGTCGCGAGCTCTTGCCTGTGAGCATTGGATGATTGGGGACGTTTTCAGAGTGATTTAAATCGGGTGCCGCACAGCCCTGAACATGAAAATACATGGTAAATACCTGGTAAATAGGTGATCGTCCACATTCACCTGGGCGGCAACCAGGTAAAATGGGTCAATACCAGGTAGTATTGGTTTTGACCCATCCCGACATGGGAATCTCAACCAAAAACATCACTTCCAGAAGTTCCTCTTCAATTTTTTCCCCGTATATTTGTGAATATCACCAATTAAAGATTAGGAAGCACATGGAAGCACTATTCACTAAATGGAGATGTTAATCAGCAAAAATCGGAATATCACCACCAGCAGGGGATGTACCCAGCAAAGAACCAAGGTTTTTTCACCAGCAGGAATGGGTAGATTAACCCGGAATCTATCAGCTGATGCGCTTGGTGGTCTTGCTTGGCAGGACAACTACAAGTACACACGACTTTTGACTCAGCGATGGATCAATACCTAAGCCACCAGTCAGGCTGTCAGGATGAACATCCAGAACCACCACCTTTTCGGTGTAACTTCACCAGGTCAAACTGCTTTGGTTCCCACGTCGGGGCAGATCTTCTTGCTGAGTCCCATGGCGACTCTTCGGCCAGAAATGAGGATCGTCGGGTGCTGGGAATTTCTCAGAATGAAATTTTGACGCCTCTTTAGACATATCCGTGAAATGGACAGGACCAGCTGCTTTGATTTCAACAATTAATTCAACAGATTTCCTGGTTGGTGGTTTCAACCCCTCTGAAAAATATGAAAGTCAATGGGACGGATTATCCCATATAATTATGGAAAAAATAAAAAACATGTTCCAAACCACCAACAAGAATGAGGCTATTCAACATTTTGATACATTTTGGACATTATTTTCATCAATAGAAAATTAATTCAATAGATTTCAATAGAAACAATAGCAGCTCCGCAAATAACATGCGCTTTCCAGCCTCCATGGGTTTAGTCACGTGCACCAAGGTCTCATGTGAGATGCTCGCATCACAAACCTGATGGATGCGGGAGACCCATGGGGTTCAGCTGGGTTCGAGAATTGGGTGAGACCTTCGTTTAAATTCCGAATCATATGGAGAGGATGAACATGATGATGATGATGATGATGATGATGATGGCAATATTAGGAATATGAGCAATATGAGTAATATGAATAATATGGAATTACGTGCACCAGGGTAGCCCATTTTCAGACAAACCCAGTTGTCGGGTCCTTGAAAGAAACATGCAAGCATAACCTTTTTTTTTTGGATGGGTCTTTGGATGTCTTTGGGGTATCCTGTAAATAGACTGGATAAATCAATCTTGATCACATCATACTGAATCATACTAATGAATGTGGGATCCACAAGAATAAAGCTTCCCCAGGTACCAAGTCTTTGTGGGCCATTTGACGCGACTATAAGTCATCCCAAGTACCTGGCAGATCTAGATCCAAAACGCTTTCGATTTGGGGGGATTCAGTATATTGGATCATATTGGATCATATATATTTCAATATCATAGATACCTCATGGATCCAATATATATATATATATATTCGGACTGTCACCAATATCATAGTAACCTCATTGGTGACATCTCCGTCGATCAAAAACCCACGTTTTCAGAAATGGACAGCGGTCTCGATGAATGGATGAGTGGATATGTGGATGGGATTGGATGGGTTCTTTAGATGACTAGGAAATTTTGCCAATACCCATCATATACCATCTGGTTATTTATCATAGCCATGGAAAATCACCATTTTTAATAGGTAAACCATCTATTTCGATTAGGGCCATTGAAAAACCATGGCATCCCCGGCTGTTTGGCTCGCCTCCAGGATTCCCCAAGCGATGCATTGCTGCAACAGCGAGTGCGGATCCTGGCAATGGATTGGTGGGAAATTTGAAACCGGAAAGCCCCATATTTTCCCGTAAATTTAAGGAAACCACCGGGAAAATCTACAGGACATTTTAATACATTTTACGGATCTACAGGAAAATCTAAGGAAAATCTATGGTTTCTGGTTTCGATTTTCCCGGTAAACCAATCCATTGACACTGGCTCTTGGTTTTTTCTCGCTAAAACATGATATTTACACAACGCATATGCCAAGAATGTGGCACAGGTGTGTACCAAAACTGAGTACAACATCGCTCCAAAAAAATTGGTTGGACTCATCTTGCACCATGCCTTGCCAGAAATATGAGTCTGATAACATCTGATAGCTGATGGACCGCCTAAAAATGGCATAAACCCAACAAAGTCATCATGACATAATATCATAAATGGTTAGTAAACACTATCAGCCACTATCAACCACTAGCATCATTATTACCCATTATATATATATATTCCAATCATACTCATTATTATATTAACCAATTAGATAGTCCATCCTAGTTATATAAACCCATTGCAATCATAATATATATATATATATACACATACGTATACATATAATATCATATAATTATATACACATATATACAGAACACTTATATTACTTATTGAATTATCCCCATCCCCACATCAGGGCATGCGAAAAAGAGACCTGGGCCACGTAACGGGCCATCTCCGTTCGAAGCAAAGGATCATCGCGGCGCTGGTCCAACTCCTGTGATCCCGAAATCCTGATGGATCTCCCGAGAGATATTCATCATATCATTAATAGTGATTAATGGTGATTAGTAGTGATTAATGATGATTAATGGTGATTAATGATGATTAATGGTGATTAATAGTGATTACCCTCTGGTAAACTAACAGAACTATGGAAAGATCCACCATTTTCAATGGGTAAATCCAGTATAAATGGCCATTTTCTATAGCTATGTTAAATTACCAGAGGGTAATGGTGATTAATAGTGATTACTGATGGTTATATAATGATGGTTAATTATCTGGTTGGTGGTTGACCTACCCCTCCGAAAAATGATGGACTTCGTCAGTTGGGATGATGACATTCCCAATATGATGGGAAAGTCATAAAAACCATGTTCCACACCACCAACCAGCTTGTATCCCAACGTCACAATACGTCACAATATGTCACAACCATTCACAACCACATATCATCAAATAATCACATTTTGTTGAATCATCTATCATGATTATTCATGCTTGTTGAATCTGAGAACTGTGGCATCAGCAAAGACCATCAAAAAACGAGCCCGGCCTGTCCTCAATACGAACGTTATGAAATGTTATGAACATCTTGGATTAGCAATGGCAATGGAACCATGGAGAAATTCTTCCACTATGCGCCACTCATGGGTTGTAGTGGTCCATGGCATCCAGATCCCAGTGATCATGTCGGGGGCACCCCAACTCCACAAATGCTTTGACTCAACACTAAAAAGATAGACAAGTATAACAAGTCATTAATATAGTGATTAATCGTGATTAATATAGTGATTAATAATAGTGATTTACATTTATAATTGTTTTAGAATTGGAGTTTGCCACCTGAGCATCTCTTTTGGAGGTTACTATAAGTTCATAAAAATCGTTAAACATCCATATTTTCTTCTCCTTGAATCCTAGCCCCACCTGCATGACCTCCTTTGTGAGCAAGATGGGGAAGGTCTCTCCCTCCTGACACAGCTTCCCATCGCCCATCAGCCCATCAGAAAATCAATGTTTTGCTGGATAAACACATGTGACTTTCTAGTGACTAAACAAACCCTCAATTGGGGCTTCGGAAAAGTCAATCCAATTCAAATCAAATTATATCATAAATGATAATAATAATACACCAATTTTCAAACATCTTTGCCATACAAATCTGCCGGCTCAGACACTACTTCACCATTCAACAATTGCACCACTTACCGATTCCAGCTACGTCCTGCACGGGATTCACCCAATAGGGTGGTTGCTTGTCACTGTTGTCAGGTGGATTGCATTTCCTTAGTCCATGGGGCGTGCCCCCAAACAACGGATGGGGTTACTGCGAAACAATGACCAACAACTGTGGTCCCCAGGTCTCAATGTTTGACACGTGGCAATATAGGGTAACAATATATCGTTGTGCGAAAAAAATATGTTGAGACTGACATACAAATAATATCAACTCAAATAATGAATATTGATGCTTAAACATCTTGTCGTCTTTCCAACATGGCCCTTCACATGGCAAGACCACCTGAAATTACCCTGCAAGTACATGCGAAGGCTGGAATGTGAAAAGATCAAGCACAGCAGAACATGTGTTTCAATCCAATGAACACAACACCAGTTGGGTTGCTTGATGTCCTTCTTGCTTTCGTGGATAACGAGGACAGAAACAGTTTCACTGGGTGAAGATGGACATCTGACTATCATCTTCAGTTCATCCAGTTTCACATAATGAGCAAACGCGCCTCAACAAAAAGGGAATTGAAGACATAAACATATATATATTATATTATATTATATTATATATTATATATTATATATTATATATTATATATTATATATTATATATTAATATATATTATAATATTCCATTGAAACTGGCCATCTTTAGGTTCCATCTTCAGTTTTCACTTTAGTTTTTGTTTGCCTGGCTGTAGCCCAACATTGTAACATGAGCAAGCATCATATGTCCAGAGACTGCCAAGTTCAGAAGCCCCTGGAGCCGGATCAAACCATCCTGTGCCGCAGGTTCCCATCCCTGAACGCCATGGGGCCCATCCCAATGATGCGTGGGATCCGTTGGGATATTGATATGTTGGGATTGAACAAGCCTCAAATAGGAATTGTTTACAATGCATATACAGTGCATTTATGTGACTTTAGGTTTACCATATTACTTGATTCGATTTCATTAACACACGCTTGATTCTACATTTTAATATATGTATGTTGTTTTGAGACATGGCCCAAGCGTGGCAGTGACATGGGTCTGGCTGAAAATAAGGCATTCCTAAATGCACTGGTCAATCATAATGTTCCCAATGAAATTGGCATTTTGGGGGTATACCATGTTTTCAGGCAAACCCAACTTATGATATGGTTGGTTATGTATACAATTAACACTCCTTATATCCATGATTCACCGATCCCGTTTTACATAGGCTGATTCACTATTCATCATCATATCCCATTACAATCCTCATATAATGAAATCACATTTATTAGGACCATTAGGATGAAATCTGATTTAATGATTCACTATTCATAATCACATCTATGGTGGTTACAATCCTCATTCTACATCCCTTTTAAAATCACTATTCGTTCACCCTTCAACAGCAGACCCTTTTTTTCGAACCGCCGCGCCTCCCGGGTGATCATTTGGTGCAAGGTGCCAGCATCCACAAATCTCAGCGGAGAATCGAATTGAATGGGGTGATAAAAAAAACACAGCGATGTTTCATGGCGCCATTGATCATTAATGACATGAGATGTTGATACATAAATTCATACATATATTGATACATATTTTGAACCCTTTGAAAACATGTGAAACTCATGATTTGGATTGATTTGGAACTGAAGGAAGACAACTTGATTCACTGCTTCATGCTGCAACAATCACGTTTGATATCACCGTTTCACAATTTTTAATGGCCATCTCAAAGTCATCGAGTTGTAGCGACTGCTGCCGGGTCGCATGAAGAACGGAATCTCCTGGCGGTCTAACGGCTGTGCTTGGGATGATTTCGTATGGTCAAAGAGTACCAGGGAAAGTCACTAAAACATGACTCAAGGATCTGAGAAACCAGGCTTTGTTCCATGTTTTCCTTGTATAAATATATATGTATAAATATGTATAAATCTTTTTCTTCACCAAACTCCAGCTGTCAAAAAAGGCTGCTCCAGCGACACCCAACCGAGACGGCCTCTGTCTCTTGCACTTGCATGGGTGCCGGCACACGGCCCTGGTGGCTGGTCATGATACTGTCAGGAATCCAGGCCCCCAAAATGTCTCGACCTGTTGAGGTGATGCCTCCGTTCATGTTCCCAAAACCGCCATCTTAGCCGTGCTCCGATTCCCCTTCCTGAAATTCGAATAGGGTCTAAGTTTCAATCCATTCAGGGCTTGGTTCATCAGACTCCACCAGATTGGCAATGTATCAATTTGTCATCTCCGAACAAATGTCACTCCAGGTTCCGGCCTGCGGACTCTGCATGGGTGTGGAAGACAAAAGAGGAGCTTTCTCTCTGGTTGGAGACATGATGCTGCCTGGCAGATGGAGTTTTCACAGCAGTCTGACTGGTCATTGCTTCAACGATATGGGCTGCTTATACCTTGCCAAACAAAAACTCTGCTGTACAATGGGCAGTAGAATAGGCACATCTCACTTGACATTATGAACATATGCCTGCAATTACCTATACCTGTTGCTTAGAATGGTCTGTATGTCAAAGTTGGGAAACTCAACCGATCTCAATGTACCCTTGGTACCCTCCATGCAAAACTCTTTCTGAGATCTTGTCATTTGTCAATATAAGCAACACATCGCCAGCAAAACGTGAACTTGATAGACCGACATGTTCTACATATTTATATATTTCTATAGCATACGGATTTCGATCTCCTTACCGGAGCCATCCCCCCTTGATACACCGACAAAGCGAAATTCAGGCCGGATTCATTTTCAGTCATCCCTACTGATTGGACAGTGTGTACACCCGTATGTATGGCAAGACAGAAAAAACACAGTGCAAGTGCAACTAACTTACCCTCTGGTAAACTAACATAACTATGGAAAAACACCATTTTTAATGGGAAAATCCACTATAAATAGCCATTTTCAATAGCTATGTTAAATTACCAGAGGGTACCCTTCAGTGGCTAGAAAAACTACCCTAAATCTTAAACGCAGTTTGACTAAATGAAATGCAACGGATGGTTGCCAAATACCCATTTGGTGACTTGGTGACACTCGGTTTAAAAAAACACATTCATTATTTCAACAAGTCAAGCAGTCAAAACCAAAAGAGTCAAATACCAGCTTATTAAAGTTCACTGACATGTTTAATCCCAGTTTATGGTGATTCCTCAGTTTTTCAACGAACCTTCACCAGTCTACCCAACCCATCACACCATCACCACACCTTTGTCGCCGATTGGGGAGGTACTCAATACCGGAGAAATCGGAGACTGCTTGGCCCTAGATCCATGGATATCCATGGTGAACGTCCAAGAATAGCTGGCTTTTTCGGGATGTTCATCTCTATGGATCAATATGGTACCAACATGCTTTTGACCCCAGAATTGCATAGAAAAATGGGGAAGATGGTGCAGGAATTGCTGCTTGGATGTGAACCTGGTGGTTGTACGACCCATGAAAATGATGAACATTTATGAAACTGGGTGGTATGATGGGATACCAAAAATCGGGATAGTAACCAACCAATATTGTCCACAGCGTTGATTCCCGACTGGATCCAGATTCAAGTGTTCAGTCCTGGGGGCATCTCTTCGGAGTCAATTCTGGAGCGCAGAGTGAAGCTGAATGATGTCAATCTCATCTGGTTTGGTGGTTTTAATCATCTTGAAAAATATTAGTCAATGGGAAGGATTATCCCATATATTATCATATATTATGGGAAAATATAAAATGTTCCAAACCACCAACCAGCCATAGTTTGCCCTACTAGAATAAACTATCAAGTGGTCAATTTGAGGCGAATGTTTCCCTTTCTTGCTGTTGATGTTACCCACATGCATGTCTGACGCTACGCGCCCATTTGTTGTTGGTTGGTATCCCCACTTTTTGTTGATTCTACCTGTGTCGACTGTTGACTAGGTTACCATTTTGTTGTTGCTTACATAACTATAATCGGCCTATTATCATCCAATCAAGGTCCATCCCCCAGCTGGCAGATTCGTGTCCTGGTAAACTTGGGGACTTTCCGGCCAAGTTTGTTTGTAAGACTGCACCCCAGCTTGTTGCTGATGTCCAATCTTTATACCAGATAAATCTCTGAATTCTTTCCCCCAGTTTTTTTTAAAATGTGTTCTTCCTGTTTTTCAGTTCAAGTTATCCCCAAAGTGTAGCTGATGCGATCACCCTGGTAGAGTGTGTTGGATCTATTCAGGGATTAATTCAACCATGCAAAATCCCTAGTTTTGGATGATTAAACCAAATCTCTATTTTTTTTTGATGCTTCACTAGTTAAATCGCAGTTGGTTGATGGCTAAATCACCATCTTCTGGGATTCTCTCTGAATCTTCACTAAGGCGCATGGGCTGCGCGATTGACGTTGGATTCAATGGCATTGGCTGCGGCCGTGGTCGCATGGGCGCCGGTGGAGGCGGTGGATGATGCACGGGCACAGGCCTAAGGATGAAGCATTGCGGTGAGGTCAAGCTTCCCTGAGACATGTGAATTTAAGCATCAAACAATTGCAAACATATACACAAATGTAGGTTTTATCATCAACAAATGCTATTCTAATCATCAAGAAATTGCGAGTTAACCACAGTTAACCATCAAAAGTTGGGATTTAGCCTTAAGAAAACATAGGAATTTAACCATCAAACAGAAGGGGATAAATCACCAACCAGACTGGGATTTCAAACATCAAACCTGCAGATTTCAACAGCAAAATCATCGGGAGATCAGGATTGTCTCTGCGGATAAGAATTTCTGCACAAACCTGGCATTTTGAACGATCTTTAGGACATGTTGCCACTGTTTAGGGACAGTGCAAGGCCTGAGGAAGATTAGCATGGCCCTGCGCAAGGAAGACACAGGCATGAAGCACTTGCCACAGGCATGAAGCACTTGCCACAATGGTATGGCTCAAGAAACGGATGCAGCTGTACTGTGCGCAGCTGTCAACGAACGCAGTTGGTGTTCAGTGGGTTATGAGCCCAACCCTGTGCTGTTAGATGACCATGGACCGTCGACGGGAAAGCGCAAAGGAGAGAAGGGGGCTGACTGGAACCATTGGGGCCGATGAAGCGTTAGAGCAGATGATTTCTGGCGCTAGAGCAGCCGCTGGTGGTGTGGAAGGTTCTCTGGCCTTGGGCGATCGCATGGGGACGGGATCTACGGGTCTAGCAGAAGCTCCTGGGGTTCGAAGTGTCAGGGTGCCAACCATGGATGGAAGACCAACCGGTCAAGGGTTTCAAGATCATGGCCCATTGGGGCAACCAGAAAGCTTTGGTCCTCTACCCCCTGTTCCGGAGAATGATACAGGGTTGGAGGATAGGAATGGGGAATCTGGTGAAAGGGTGAGTGATCAGGTTGCAACTAGGCTGGGTTCTCAACATCCCTTGGATGGCACCACTGCGGTGTCTGAACGTTCCTTGGATGGCACCACTGGGGTGTCTCAACGTCCCTTGGATGGCACCACTGGGGTGTCTCAACGTCCCTTGGATGGCACCGCTGGTGTGTCTCAACGTCCCTTGGATGGCACCGTTGGTGTGTCTCAACATCCCTTGGATGGCACCGATGGTGTGCCTCCACGTGCCTTGGAATGTGCTACTGAAGCACCCAACCGAAGTGACTTGGCTGGTGCCGGGATGAGGGCGTCTGGCAACTTGGATAGATCCTCGGATGGTGCCGTGATGAGGGCATCTGGCAACTTGGATAGATCCTTGGATGGTGCCGGGATGAGGGCATCTGGTAACTTGGATAGATCCTTGGATGGTGCCGGTATGAGGGCATCTAGCAACTTGGATGGTGCCTTGGGTGGAACTAATGGTGTTCCCGATCGCAACTTGGATGATGGTAAGACACGACACTTGTCTCCTGGGTTTGCCGAAGCCCATGGGGGTATGTTGGGAGATCTTGTGGGAAACCTTGGTGGGGCAAGTACCTTGGGTCCTATTGAGCCCCCACCGGGATTAAATAGTGAACCGCCAATGAATCCATTTTGGTCACCAGCCCGTAGAGGGTACGAAAGGTTGGGTCACGAAATAGAGCGTCGTGGGGTTCAGTGCGGGTCCATGGATGGATCGGGAACTGGATACGGGCCAGCCATGAATGTTGGGAGTGGAGATGCTGGCAAGTCAGGTGAAGGCGGATCCCAACCCAATACCCCCCAAAAGGATGTGGTGATGGATCCCATTGAATTATTCCGGTTGAGATGCCTCCGGGAGGCGGAGGAAAAGTTTTTGGCCGGATTGAAAAACATGACGGGTCAGCAACAACCACAGTCATCTTCAGGGTCTTTTGCATCGGCCATGGAAGAACATGACACGCATGTCCCAAAGCCACCTCCAGGTCCACCGCCCATGTCGCCACCAAGGGTTCATGTGGGTAGTTGTGACACGATGTTGAATGCTTGGGGAACCTCATATCCTCCGCCTCCACCCCCGCCGTTGCCTCCAATGCCATGCATGTCGGGTTTTGGGAACGGTCCGGTCGGTGGTGGAACAGGTCATCCCAGCGGTAGCCTAGGAGGGTTTGGATCGAGTCTTTTCCAGGGTGAGAATCCAAATGAAAACCTGAGGACTTTTGATCTACCGAAGTTGGATGCCCATGCAACATCCCTTCAATTTGGTGACTGGTGGAATCTTCTGGATTCACAAATGGGTGATTTGTCGTATTCCTCTAGTCAATGGTGGGATTTAATCAAGAGTGCTGCTGAGAAGTGTTACCGAGAGTGGTTGGAGGCAGACCCGGTCACCAAACTTAGATTGGTCCCTCTGGTGGACCCTATCGCGCAACGGTGGCCACGAACGGCCAAAAGGGCCCTTGGGATGCTCTTGCAATCCATTCCGGAGCACATCAAAAGCGACTTGGTTGCATCGCGGCGTCTGACGGTTGAACAGGTGGTTTTTAAACTCCTGGTCGTGTACCAGCCTGGGGGAGCCTTGGAGAGAACACGGGTTCTCAACAGTATCACGGATGGGAAATGTGGGGATAACATCCAGGAAGTCTTGGAGTGGGTTAGGACTTGGAGGCGGAATGTCACGAGAGCCTCTGAGTTAGGAATCACTCTCCCAGATGCCATGGTGTTGATGGGTGCCCTTCACAAACCCCATGAATGGTTGAGCATGAAGTCGCCCCAAATAGCGTATCGGTTGAACATGGTTCGGCAACAACTTGGTGTCGATCGGCAGCCGGTGTTTGAAATGGTATGGACCTTTTCCGAGCATCTGCAAGCAGAGGCTGAACAGCTGCTGGTCGATGGTGGTGAGATTGGTCTCAAGGGTTCCCAAAGGGGTCAGCCGCAGAAACCAGTGGTCAAGGTTCTTCAGGGTCCTACGGGGAATCCACCAAATCCACCAAGTCCACCAAAGGGTACTGGAGATGGGGGTACAGATGGTAAACCCAAGGTCACGGCTTCCTCGGTGAATGCGGATTCGGTTACTTCAACCCAAGTTTGCCGTTTTTGGGGTACTGAGGGGGGCTGTAGGAAGGCTGACCGGTGCAAGTTTACCCACACCATGTTGAGTTCAAAGGATGGTAGGTGCTTCACCTGTAGTGGTGTCGGTCATGCCCGGAAGGATTGCCCCCATGCCAGTAGTAACACGGCTAACAGCAAAAAGGTAGCTAAGGCATCTCCAGGAAAAGGAGACACCTCTTCAAAGAACGAGAAAGTGAAACCCGTGACCTCCAGTGAGCCTTCAGCTAGCTCTTCAGGGACGTATGTGGCTGAACCACCAGTTGCAGTGACTTCGGCCGCCCCGCAGTCTGGAAGCAGCTTAGGTTCTAAGGGACTCGGGGAAGTTGGAGCGTTGATTCAAGAAGCTTCGGTGTTGATGAAAACACTGCGGCCTTCGGTGAAGGCTATCAATTTGAAGAAGGCGGCTGTGGATGGCTTCACTACCGGTCTCTTGGATGGGGGTGCAACGAATGCACTCCGCCAGGGGTCTGCGGAGGAGATTGCGTGTGCAGTCCCTGTGACTGTAGAACTGGCTGCCGGATCAGCGCAGCTCTACCAGTGTGTTGAAACGGGAACCTTGTTGTCTGCACAACCAGTTGAACCCATTGTTCCGTTAAGGGGGTTAGTGAACCTTGGGTATCGGATTAAGTGGGATTCAAAGGGGTGTCTGATTTACCATGATGTTGTTGGTCACATGAAATGTTGGTTGCGAAACGGATGTCCAGTTGTCAAAGAGACTCATGCACTGGCCTTGATTCATGACTTGGAAGCCTACGAACGCAACAAGCGCCTTGGTCCACGGTTGGCTGGTGAAAGTGTTTCTGAGGAAGTGGTCAAGTGGTGGGCACAACGGTTTCCCGAAGTTCCTTCAAGGGTGGTCCAATACATGGCTGGTCAGGATTCCATCCCTCAAGGTCAGGATTTGCCATGGAATCGTAGGCTTCGTCGCCGGTTTGCCAATGCTAAGGGTTTGATTATCCATTTGTTTTCCGGGAATAGCGACTCTGGGAAAGAATGGCGAAAGGGTTGGCCTAGTGGTGTTGAAGTGGTTACCCTGGATCCCAAGGAAAACCCCAAAATGGATCTCAATAACTGTAGTGTTTGGTCGTACGTTTGCCACTTGGTTCGGACATGTCGGGTGATTGCCATAGTAGGTGGACCTCCGTGTAGGTCTATCAGCAGGCTCAGAAGCATCCAACCGGGCCCGCCCCCCCTTCGGGGGCGGGTGGACCAACGGTACGGCCTCTTGGATTTAAGTCCGGCTGATCAAGCCAAGACGGACTATGACAGTGCCTTGGTTCTCAAGCAGCTGGCCTTGCATCAGTTGGCAGAGGAGTCTCGGGTTGGTGGTGTGACCTATGAGGGGTCTAGGCATGAGGGTGCAGGGAATAGTGAGGGACCCTCGGTTGGGTTTCTCATGGAATCCCCTGAAGACCCTGCACGGTATGCGCAAGAACATGATGCCCCCACGTACTGGTCCTGGCCTGAACTTACCCAATTCATGGAAGAACATGGCATGACTCTCATTCATTTTGATCAGGGTCGTTTCGGACATACTCAAAGAAAGCCAACAACATGTATGTCAAACCTCCCATTCATGGATCAACTTAATGAAGCAAGATGCACGGTACCAAAAGGGGAACCATTGAACCCAGATCTTGGATCCCGGCTGCAGCAGACAGCCAGTTGGGCTGACTGGGCACCAGGCCTGAAGCAGGCCATTCGGGTGGCCATCATGGCTTTGATCAAGGAACATGGGCTCGGGGGAGAGCACTTGAGAAAGGCCTTCTCCATGGATCAATGGCGTCAGCACATACTGCAAGGACACCGGCCATTCAGGAGAGACTGTCGGGCCTGCGTGCTCGACATGGCGGCTGATAAGCCGCATCGTCGTAGAGTGGGTCGAGGCGAGTCGTCATGGTCGATGGGTGTCGATGTTGTGCCATTGGTTAAAGCAGTAGATGAGTCCACGTCGGGCCATGTAAGATATGCTATGGTCGCCACTGTTCTAGTTCCAAAGGTCCCCAAAGGAATTCGTAAACCTCTGGTCCCCATGGAAGAACCCCAAAAAATGGTGGATGAAAGTATGGATTGGGGGGAGGGTTATGATGAAGAGGACTTGCCTCTCATGGATGAAACATGTGATGGACAAGGGATGGATGAAAAGAATGTCGAGGCAGCGCCCGATAGGGAGGTGAAGAGCGACGAACATGACTTGGATCGAAAATGCGAAGAATGTCGAGAACCTCTTCCGGCTGCTCACGTAACGTTGGTGTTCCCCATGCCCTCGAGGCAACAAGCCGAGGTGATCCATGCCCTGAATTCATTGGTCACCAGATTCCGGTATCTTGGGGTGTACGTAGACAGACTGCACTCAGACAAGGCCAGGGAACTGGTAGAATCCAAACAGGTCCAAAAATGGTGTGCCGCCAGGGGTCTCCTACAAACCACTACTGGAGGAGATAACCCTGCCAGCAACGGACATGTGGAAAGCGAGGTGAATCAGTTGAAGAGGAGGACCCGGCTCCTACTGCGACAAGCTGGACTGTCGGCGACGTCGTGGCCGATAGCCCTCAGGCATGCTGCTGAGGATCGTCTCCGGCACCAGCTGGAAGGGTTGGGGGTCCCACAGGTTCCCATGATCGACTTTCATGCCAATGTCCTGGTCAAACGAAAGAGATGGCACGGTAGAGGTCCATTAGCGCCTCCGTTTGTTGAAGCCACCCTGTTGTGTCCTTCCCCGGTCATGAACCAGGGTTGGTCAGTACGAACTCAAGAGGGTCAGGTACTACATGTTAGGGAAGCTGTGGTCCCATGTGAAGATGCGGACAACGCCGCATTGGCTCTCCATGAACATGCACGTCCACCCATGATTCTCGAGCCTTCCTACCGTATCCATGGAAAACAACCACCCCCTCAATCATGTATACCACGAGGGTTGTCATTTCCACCTGTTGATTTTGGGTTTCTCACAGAGCCGTCCGATACATCACAATATGAGCCAAGCCTAGCACCCACTGAGCCGGATCGGGAATCCGGGGGGGAGCGCGAGGGTTTGGTGGATGGTTTGAATGGTGAAAACTCGGTTGGGGATGATGAAAACGTTGATGATGAAAAAATTCGGGAAGATGGGGATGGGTTGGACATTATTGGGGATGATTCCAACATTGAAGTTCCACCGGAAGAGTGGGCCCGGATGAACAAGTGTGGGATCGCCCTTAGGAAGGTCAAGCGAATCCAAATTCATGATGCTTTCTTGGATCAGCACCTTGGTCTTTTGGATGCAGTGCGAGATGCACTGAACCACGTGCCCCTTGGAAGGAACGAAGGAGGTCATCAGGGGTGGTGGCTGGAGACTCTTCAGTCCGAACGGCTGGCTTTGGAAAGGGATCTCAGTGCCTTGGATAAGGAAGCTGGGAGTGGTGGTTTGCGACTTTGTGCAGTGCAGGCTGGGGGGAGTGAACAACCTCCCACCGGAACGGATGAAGTGCTCCAGACAATGACTGTCTCCTTGGACGTGGTGCGAGGTGACTTGGAAGCTTGGAAACCCGCCATGAGAGCGGAATATGGCAGCTTGGTTAATGAAACATCGGCAATCCAACCTGTGAAACTTGGTGACTTGGATGAGAGCCAAGTTGAATTTGTGCCTGGGAAACTTGTCTGCACAGTCAAACCGGGGTTAAATGGGGGGCGAAAAAAGTGTCGTGGTGTTGTTTGCGGGAATATGGTTCAAGAATCATCAGTACCCACCAATGCCTTGTACGCTTCGGGAGCAGATGGAACCATGATTCAGGCAGTGCTGAGGCACACAGCAATGATGTCCTGGGGTATTACTCTCACCGACATAAAGACAGCGTTTTTGCATGCTCCTCGACCTCCACCTCCAAAGGGTACCAGGGAAGTAATAGTAGTCCCTCCAAAGATCCTTGTCCAAGCGGGCATATGCAGTCATGATGAGAGATGGCGTGTTCATCGCGCCCTGTACGGCTTCCAGACCAGCCCGGCGTTGTGGGCTGGACATCGGGATGGGACCATGAAGGGCTTCAAGTGGACGCATTTGGGGATTCAATACATGGTCAAACAAACCCCCGAAGGGAACCTTTGGAAGATTTGGACTCATGATGGGAAGGGTAACATGTTGGACTGCGTAGGACATGTGATAGTGTACGTGGATGATGTTCTGGTAGCTGCTTGTGAAGATGTGAGAAAGGGATTTTTGGGGAGACTCCGGGAAGAGTGGGCAACTTCCTCTCCAGAAGAGGTGACATGTAATGGTTGGGTGCGATTTTGTGGGTTCGAGCTGCGATGGGACCAAGAAGGGTTTCTCCATGTTGCCCAGCCGTCGTATACCCATGAATTACTCGAACGTCATGGTATCACGGGTAAAAGGGTTGCTCCTATGTCCAAGGTTGGGGTCCCTGAACATGAGGAAAATGACATCACTCCAAGTGATATCAAGGCTGCCCAAGGAATAGCCGGAGAGCTTCTCTGGTTATCGGTTCGCAGTAGACCGGACATTTCCTTTTCAGTGGGCCAGATTGGTCGCCAGGTTAGTCATCACCCCAAATGGGCACTTCAAGTTGGACGAGGGGTCCTGGAATATTTGGCTTCCACCCCCAATCATGGTTTGGTATATGGTCCATGCGTTAAGGATCGTGGACCCGGTGGCATTCTCCCAATTGAGAGACATCCGCATCTGATTGAGGCATACTCAGACATAAGCTTCGCCCCCCAAGGAGGGCGTAGCTTCCAAGGAGTTGTCATCCTCTACGCAGGATGTCCTCTCCAGTGGGAGAGCGGGCGTCAATCGTTCGCGACCATGTCCACAGCGGAATCAGAGCTCCTCGGCTATACCGAGGCCACTACAATGGCCCAGTCGGTTGAAGCTCTGTTAAGGGTCATCCATGGGGATGTCACCTTCGAAAAACTTCTTTGCGGCGACAATACCAGCGCCATCAGCATCTTGACAAAACCTGACGGGCCGTGGCGTACTCGCCATCTACGGCTGAGGTCCACTTGTTTGAAGGAGAAACTGAATGATCCTAACAGTGGCTGGATGATTCGTCATTTGAAGGGTACTGGTTTGATAGCTGATTTTCTCACCAAACCCCGAATTTCAAGGGCTGAATGGATTGCGTTTTGGGAGTATATGAGAATGAGGGAGTACGGCGCGACCCCCCTGGCTACTGAGGAGACTGAGGTACATCACGGCACAGCATCTAAGGAGCCTGGCACAGATCTTGTAAAGGTCGCCAAGTTCGGGATGCTGGTTGGCACTCTGCATGCAGTTGCCGAGCACTATGATGTCGGTCCTGATCGGGATGAACTCATGCTGGCTGTAGCAGTGCTTGCCGTGGTTCTGGTCGTCTGGTTGTACAAGCTGACGCGGCGCTCAAGTTCGCTCGATGTGAGTGGTTCGGTCAACGGTTTTTGTGAAGGGTCTTCGGCCATCAAGAGTGTACAGGGAACATTGTGTAAAGGTTGGGATAACTTGAAGCGAGCAGCCTCAGATGTCTCCCATTTTTGCAAAAGTCTCACGGTCCTTGAACGGGTGGACCACAGCGAGCTGGTGGAAGGCTTGGAACAAGCCTCCCACATTTCGTTTCACCCTGATCATGGTGATGATCTGTATGAGATGTTTCAAGAAACAATTGAAGATCCCGAACAAGAAAGATCAAGAGCCACTGGCCCACAAGAAAGAAACAACGAATGGAGCGAGGGAACGAGGGAACATGAACCCGTTCTCCAAGGCTGTGAAGGTGACGAGGTAGGTCATGTCATGGGCTCTGGGCTTGGCTCTGGGTTTGGCTCTGGGTTTGGCTTGACTATGGCCGGCTTGAACACTACCTCTGAAGTTCGCCGACAGAATGAAAGGTCAGAACTGTTTGACAGTAGCCCTTGGGGCTCCCGGCTCATACCGGACGCGCGCCCCTCGCTGAAAGCAATGGCAGCTCCAGCAATTGGTGCTCGGGCGTTCGAGCCTCCTCCAGCATTGACTACCAGCGGAAGTCGGCTGGTTGAGGACGAGGCTGTGTTTTCGAAACCACTCGGTGGCTCTCGTGACAAATGGTATTGGCTCCAGCGAGAAGAAGATCAATACTTGGTGAGGGCACGCAGTAAACCAAGGATCCGACCTTTCCATCCTCTGCATCGGAATGTTCCCCTCGACCCTGGAAAGCAGTTGGGTCCCTCCCGCATCACGGTGAAGCACTTTCTGGATGATGGTCGCCGCGAGGTGGTTCATGATCGCTGGGGGGCGGTGCCCACTAGTGGTGCCAACCAATGGCGTGGCTACAGTGTGTTTCCCATTGATGATGCTGGACTCCATTTGGCTGAGGTGAATGTAGCTGCTGATACTGATGGTGGAGAACGGGATCCTTCTGCTATGGAACGACCACGAAGGCATTGTGGAGACAGGCCATCTCCTGCCAAACTCCAACAAGTGGAATCTGAAGAAGATGACGGGCTTACCGTCTTCATTGGACAGCATGTCCATATGTTGCTGGGAGATCCACCTGCCAACTATGTGGGTCCCAGGCTGGAAGACAACCCAGCTGGTCTCCTTCCTCGAGTGCCTGGTGAAGATGGTGGCTTGACCTCTTACGGTCCCATCACCTTGGATGAGCATTTGGATGAAGTTCCACACCGCCTTGAACTTGGACACAACGATCAAGGACTACCGACTCGGCACCCTGAGCTAGTGAGGCCTACCTCCTCGCGACTTGGGCTGGGAACCAATTATGCCCATCATGAAGGTGTGGGAACACTGCACCAAGCTTCCTCGGCTTCCTTGGGGCATCGAGCTTCAAGTAGCAGTGCAGTTGCCGTGAGGTATGGTCGACCAGACTCTGCAGCGGAGAGGGGAGTGGCGGCGATGTCTGCGGTAAACCGCACCGATCCGCCACGCATCACGAGATGGCGAAACTCCCGCAAAAGGGATCAAGATGATGATGAAGTGGCCAGCTCCATCATCTCTTTTGAAGAGGTGGATGCATGAAGGGTCCATATGCTGAAGACCAACTTCTGAGGGCCGGGCTTGGGTAGCTTGGCTGAATCTTTTGCTGGTACGTCCCAGCTCTCTCCTCTCCTAGTGCGCTGTAGTTCGGCCTTAGGCCGAAGGGGGAGTGCGGATAAGAATTTCTGCACAAACCTGGCATTTTGAACGATCTTTAGGACATGTTGCCACTGTTTAGGGACAGTGCAAGGCCTGAGGAAGATTAGCATGGCCCTGCGCAAGGAAGACACAGGCATGAAGCACTTGCCACAGGCATGAAGCACTTGCCACAATGGTATGGCTCAAGAAACGGATGCAGCTGTACTGTGCGCAGCTGTCAACGAACGCAGTTGGTGTTCAGTGGTCTCAAATCTATAGCCCATTGGCCTATTCTCTGATTTTCATCATGTAAACCCCCTGTAAATTTGTATTACCATGAACATTCATAAACATTTAGAACATACATGAACATACCTATGCCATGCCATGCCTTATTGGCTGGTTGCTATGGTTGATGTTCTTCAACCGACCCAGCCGACTTTGTCCGAGCGACGTGGGGGGACCCACGATGTCCTGGGCCTGAGCATCGCCTTTCAAGGCGGCCAGGATCACTTTGCCGCTCTCCGGTTGAGCCTTGGTGTGCCCCAAAAGGTGCCTGCAATGTGGGGCCCCCCAGTGATGTAAGTTGGTTTATAAACCCCATTAACTATAGTTATAAGTACCATAAATCATAGTTAATAAACCAACTTAGCTATCTTGGGGGCCCCACATTGTGGGGCCCCAGGGGGATCCCCAAGGCACCATGACTTTCGGTGCTGGAGGTTGGTCTACCATGGATGATTTGGAGCCCCATTGATCCTTGTCATTGGGGGATCATCATCCCACTTTGGGGAGAAGAACCGCAGAACATGTGATGAAACCACTGACAAATGTGGTGAAAATGACGGCTTATGAATTACCCATGATATCTTGATAGTTTGAATGTCTTTTGATGATTAAATAGCAGTCTTGCATCATTTAAGTTCTAAGCTCCCGGCTGGCATGCTATCACCAGCCCATTCACCTTCCTCCCACGTCAGCTTGTCATGTTGATTCCTGGCTTCGGTCGTCTTGTTGGGCCAATCATGTTTTTGTTGGAAGTTGATGGCCCTTAAAAGACATTGGCTTGGCATCCCACTAAGTTCGAATAGTTACATGATGATATATGTAAATCAATGCCGACTCTATCTCAATGGAAAGTGATGGAAGCAATCAGCTTGATCTTTGCAAATATATCAATCTTCACCATCCAAAGAGTTCTGCAGCTGCGCGTTGTGATCAGTCTTGACAGCGCCTGTAAGAAGCGTGCAGGCAAATGGTGGGTGCTGCATCTGACATGAGCCAACCATCTCTAGACCTGAAGGCTGAGCATCACGAAGCTTGGCCCCCCAAATGGCCATGGGTAGCCGCGGTGTCGCCTATTTTCAAGACAAACCCACTACATCCCACTACACATGTTGATGCATTTGTTGATGCATTTTATAGTACACGAAAAACCTCTGGTGCTCATCTCATTTTGCAATGCTGTCATGCTGTCACCTGCATACCGCCGACAACTACTTTCAATTGTCCTAAATAGATGCGGTTGCTTTACAGGACATGCAGCTACCGCAGGGGAGTCATGCAGTTTGTGAGATTTTGATAGATGTTGTCCATGGATTATAACTTGTAAACCGGCATGAAGATCCCATCCTTCCTGTTGGACACCATGCTGCCCTAAGGCTCCCCACTCCGCGGTGCACCAGGTGAGATCACTGCGATGCAAGCGATGGTCGATGACGCGCCAATCGATGCAGTTGTGCTCCAGGCGTAGCCAGATGGGCGACAAGCCACGACCATCGCGGCCACCGCTGGAAGCGTCGTAGGGATACTTTCGGCTCCATGCCTTGGAGACTTCCAGGATTTGGGCACGATTTGCGGGTTGATTTGGGAGACTTCAGCAGATTTCAGGATCTGAAAGTTGCTTGATCCAAGGCACGATGAGCTCCAACAGACCAGCAGCACCTGGTGCTGCGCGACTGGTTGTGTCATAACTGGGGAGTGACGATCAGAAACTCATCAAATTTGACCAACATCAAGAATGGACTTGGCCAAAGCAAATGGAAAACAACGTTCTCTCAGCTGTCATTCCAGGCATTGATTCATGATTTCACTACAAAACTCCCAGATTATTGTCCTGGCGGGTGGAACCAGGGCTGGAAAATTACATTCCAACCAAAAAAATAGCGGCAATGTGTAGCAATCCTCACGGTCTATGCTACAAGCACCATACTTAAGTCACATCAGGCGGGAAAAAGTCACAACAACCCATGTCACAGTGACGCTACAGAAAAGTCACAACAGGTAGTGGAAAGTCACATCAGGGAAGAAGAATCACCATAGCAAAGTTACATTTATTGAAAGTTGTGGTGATGCCAATATTGAACTTTTTCCAGGCGCACGGCCTCCCGATACGACTTTAACGAGCTGATACGACTTAACTTAACACTAACGCTTATAGTTGGTAGTTGGGATGGTCATGACCTTTTTTTGGGCTTCGTGGCCGGCCTCTCTCAGTGATGCTGTTGTGGCTCAAGTGCACTTCATGCACCGCCTGGTGGCCACGAACCAGGAGTCATTTGGATGACAATCTAAGGTAGGATGCTGGTTAATAACCATGGTTGCTTTACACAATTACAAATAACTTAGCTGAGTGAATTTATACTTGGGGGGCACACCTTCATGGCTACCATTAATTCAAGAACTGAGATGCTCATGACTCATGATAGACTGTATTTTCTAGGGAAGCTAACTCTCGAAACGGTCAATGGACGCAGTTGTCAGCCCGTCAGGAGATGATTTGTTCATTCTTTGGTCCTATTGACGTAAAGATGGGGCAGCTATCCTTGACTATTGGTGAGCCAACCGTGTCTCGCTGGGATTTGGACGTTGCCAACATGTGCCCTTTTTTTGCCACAAGGCTTGAAGTACTGGATTTTCTCATGTCAATAGTCAATGTACTTGTTCTTTAATTCCATTAAATCCAGTACTATTGGAGCAACAAATACATTGACCATTGACATTAAATCCAGTAGGTGGGTTCTTTAAGGTTACAACTTAAATAGCCCATCTGGAGCAACCATTCCACAGACCTGCAAGCAACACCGAGCTAAATGGGTATTAACTTGGCTCACAGCACATGGGTTTTCTGTGAAAACAGGGTATTTGAAAAATCATAAAAGATCCAGTGGTTTATGGTTTACAATATATTATTACACTAAAATCACTAAACATGGAGAAAATTTGGGGTTCATCCCGCATTTTCTGACACATCCACTGACTAGCCATAATTCGTGGTTGGTAAATTCCCAAACACATCCCATTGAATCCCCATTGATACCCTCTGGTAAACTAACATAGCTACTATTGAAAATCACAATTTTTAATGGGGAAATCCACTATTAATAGTCATTTTCAATAGCTATGTTAAATTACCAGAGGGTAATTGATAATTGATACTTTTTGAGGCATCCCCTATTGTTTGGACAACCACTAACTGGATCTAACTGGTCTTTTCTGCGCCGAAAAAAACGCCCTGACGGTCAGTCCTGTGAACTGTGGGCCATGAATTGACCAACAGCCCAGGCCCCACCATCGGTGATGTTATTCCTGGCGCCGGCATGGCTCCCCCGGACACAGGACCGAGCTTCCCCTCAGTGGGCCCAATGGGAGCAGGGACCTGAAGAGTTTCATGATCTGCACCGTGATGTCCCTGCTGTAGAGGAAACTCAACAGCTTCGTCAGAGCCTGACATCGGAACTGCACCAAATCAGATGGTGATGGCTATTGACATCCATTGATCATTAAAGACCCTGCATATCCGACTCCAATAGTAAAGAAACCGATTCAGTGTCAATCCAGAATTTCTGGGGGGTGTTTGTTGGTAGACGACTCAGGATTTACTCACTTTCCCGCTTGATTCAGTCAACTGACGGTCTCTGAGTGCATTCATATGTCCAATGGCTGGATACCATCACCAAATCTGCAGGATTCCTGAAAATTTTGTGATGCTATTCCCATGTTTGAGTTGATTAGTATCCGCACGATTTGTTGCTAAATATCCACCGTTGTTGGTGAACATCGTGACTTCACCAACCACTATCATCAGTGATCAGCACTTGGGTGATATCTGTCATGTTCCAGTGTGAAGTCAAAAAATTTTGTGTTTGGTCCATAACCCTAATCTCATCACTATCTTCACCCTGGACCATCCAGCATTTCTGTGTTTGAAGCTAATTATTCGTACTAATTCCTACGAGCATCTAAAAAATAAGAAAAGACAATTGGAAGTGGGTTTGGGAATTGTGATTTTTTTTGGCAAGTAGAAATTGACGATTTGATTTAGATCTAACCGCTCGGTGTCGAGCAGTTTTCTTGACCAAGCATGTGCTGAAATTGCCTGGCACCACGTAGATGCAGAGGGCCTATGTCAGAAACCAGCTGGCAGAGCACCAAAAAGTAAGAGTTTGGCCTCAAGACATGTATCCATCAATTTGGGAACCACCGTCCATAGGCATGACACAGGGACCAAAATGCATTTGCTTTAGCGTGCAATGGACGATGACGATACCACATATGCTTCCACCGCCGGAGTTCGACTTTCCAAAGGAAACTATGATCTCCCTGTAGGGGGGCTCTGCTGGGTGTGGCAGCGCAGTGGCAACAACTATACTGGAGTCAGTGTGCGGGACCTAGCTGCGCGTTCAGATCTTGCAACTGTCGTATTCAAAAGGGTGGTGGCCGCAGCATCAAAAACTAAAGGTAGGCGTACAAATACTACCCTGCCGGAAGAAGATCGTCTTTTGCTGAAAAACGAATGCATCGATGGCATGATTGGTATGGAAATTGTTGGGGGCACTGTTTTAGAGCACGCGTGCGCCATTTCCAATGGTTCCATGAATGACTTGGAGAGCGCCCTGACATTCAAGTGTCCATGGAGTTCGGCTAGCTCCCACAGAATTGAAATTTCCAGTTCTAGTGGGTCGCAACTGGGGAGCAGGCCTTCACATGGCGCGATTTGTGAGTCAGCTGGTTTGCAAATTGTGCAGCCTACAGAGATGATCTCCGTGTCTGAGATCTCACAAGCCATGCAAATGATTTCGGCTGTGCTGAGTGGTATAAACGATGAAACAGCGATGGGCAAGTTAAACCAGATCCAAGAATGGATGTCGGTTGCTCTTCTCAAAGTCTCAAACATCATGTGTGTGTGTGTACCATCTGAACAGATGTAAAACTTCTGATTGGTTTTCACTAGTTTGCAGGGGGGTGCAGAGCACAGTGGAGACTGCACCCAACGAAGCTATCCACTTGTGCTGGAAGCAGAGTCTGATCAACTCTGTGTACCTGCAAAATTTGGTTTCAACTGTTGATCAAGCTGTTACACTGCGTTGTTTCGAATCTACACGGTTGCCACAATCTGTATTGCATGCATCAGAACCTTCCTCAGATTTTCGCCGAAACCATATCGCCGACAGTATTATGATTTTTTGACATATTTTCGCCGAGATCATGTCGCCGACGAACTTTGGGTTATTTTGGGAAACAATCGCCGAAACATTATTGTGGATTCTCAACATGCTGGTTAAAACTCTATGGATTCTGGTTTTGACTTCGTTTGACAACATTGGATGCCCTACATCGTTTTCGAGAAGTACCTCATGTGGCTCCTTTACTAATCTAACGATCTAGGCTGGTTTGCATGTTTCAGGATTCAGTTCCTGCCGGATCATATAATGATCCATTCTTGTCTAGTGTGATTTCCATGGTGGCTCCGACATGGTGCCATGGAGCCACTTGAGGCAACCCTTTTCAGGGTGAGTGTTGACAGTCTTGAACTCTGAATTCACACATTTTAATTTGGTAATTCGTTTACGTAATGTGCAACAGCTGGCCTTTCCGTTTTGCACCTTTTGTGATGTCCCGCGCTTCCGGCTGTCCTTTATGAACCCAGTGAATGCATCTCTATTGAGTGAAGCCACTTCGAACTACCAGAAACCTTTTTTCTCTGCAGCTTGCGCATTTGAAGTTCAACATGACATTCACGACAAAAGGCAACAGGCATGTCCTTTTCCTGCAGGTGTGGTCTCTTTGGTTTTTGGTGAGGTGAAACATTTTGTGCATCTAATTCGTTGGAATTTGGAAGCTGTTTTATGCCTTCGTGGCACGACTTGACCACGGTCCCGGTGCAGGGAATAATTGCACGACATCTTAGGCAGTTAGGGACTGAATCCTGTATGTGATTGTTCACTTTTGTTTTCATCTACTGAAGCGATGCATCCGTGGAACCCTCCGCCAACGTCCTGGCCTGTTCCACCGCAGCCTACGAACGCACCTCCGACGTGGCCGCAATCATCACAGAACGTACATCTATTTGGACATCCTTCAGCCTTGCATCCTACATGGTCTTCTTCAGCTTCGATCATGCCGTCTACATCATCCCCAACATCGTTGCCGTTTACCTCATTGTCTCCGGCTCCTCATGCAGTACCAGGCCCACAGCTCGTACCCACCATGCCTGCACCTTTGACCTCCGAACCCACAATGGCGCACACCGCTCCTTCGACTTTCCCATCTCCTTCGGCACCCACCGCTCCACCTGCCTGGCCTTCTCCACCGACTTCATCTCCTACGTCGACTCCACCACCTACATCGACTATGCCACCGACACCTTTGCCAAGTTCCCCTTACCCACCCCATCACATTCAACCTCCATTACAAACGAACGCATTGATGGTTTCTCCTGATGAACATCCTCCACGGCCTCCTGCAGTTAAGGCAGCTCCCAGACCTCGCTCTGACAAAAGAATGGATCGACCGCGCAGGCCAGCTTCAAAAGCCCCTTCTTCGACTACACCACCAGCACCCACGGCAGCACCGACGTCATCCGTGCCACCCGAACTGGTTGCATTGGGTTCCACTACACAACAACTTGCGGAATCGGTTCGACTTATTCAAGCTCAGCAACAGGTGATCATGGATACTCAACGGGCCCAAGAACAACGTCAGCTACTTCTCCAACAAGATGGACCTCCACCGAACCCTATTCCACACATACCACCACCTACGCCCGTGCCACCACTGACAGCCACACCTCCACCCGCACCGAAAGCCAGACCTACCGAACCTGACGTTCCGGACCTTCGCATTGTTCAAGCCCCGGCCATTGCTCCTCCTCATCCACTATACCAGTTCCATCATCCCCAACACGCCGACCAAGATCTAGGACTCCACGACCACGTTCCCTTCGACCTTCGGTACATTCTCATCGCCATCGCTATTCTCCTCCACGAGCAGAGCGACCTCGTTCTCCTCTCCCTCGTCATCGATCATCCACAAAACCGGACAAGGGCCGCAGAACCCCATCTCCATACAGACGACGCTCCCCACCACGACGCCGCTCTCCCGTGGTCCCTCGACGTCATCGATCTCGGCCACGTCCACGTTCCGCGACACCACGTCACAGATCCAGAGGCCGTGAAGTCATACTCCGACCAGCTGCAAACCCATCGAATCCGAACTACATCCCCACTCCCGATGCTGATGACACCTGGGGTACATGGAACGACAGTCACTACACCGACAACGACCATCACCACAATCCTCGACCCAATTCTCCTGCCGGTCCACCACCAACGGAACCACCAACCAACCCACCAACCCACACTTCAGCACCACTCGGCGCGGTGTCCTTCCGAGTTCCGGACGGCGACAGTGAAAATTCTGAATTTACAGATACAATTTCGCTCACCAAGTTTGACACGAATGACATCGACCTCGATGAAATGGTGGCGGCGGCCAATGACCCCCATAGGGTCCGTTGCCTGACTGAACTTGACCCCGATCATGTTGTTCCTCTACGCCGATCATTGACCCCGGCTATCTCGCAGCTCTTCAACCAGTTTGTGGACGCGATGTTCGAAAGGTTGGCTCAACCATACCGCACCGTCAACAACCATCGTATTTACATCAAAGCAAGTCAAGCCACCGTCAGGAATATTGCCAGGGCCTTTGCACAATCCGACTTACTGGACATCGAACTCGCAAGGCAAACACAGGCCTTCTACATCGAGCCAGAAAACTTGCTGACCATCACGGTTCCCACAGGATTGAAGAAGAAACCAATCTACCGTGGCGAACACATGGGCACCTACCTGATCTACCACAAAACGAGTTGGGAATCAGTTGCCAAAATTCTTGCGGAGGACTGCATTCGCCCGGCAACTTGGACCAAAAACGAAGCCGGCATGCCGACTCAATACCCATGTTACGGGTTCTTCGGAATGTCCTCAGAGATCGCAGACATCGACCACCTACCCGGCTATGCTGTCAAGATCTGTACCTCTCAGCTCTACAAAATAGGCAAAGGACAAAACCCATCAGGCCTAATGGCCATATGCCGCTCACACAAATGCATCCGTGCCCTAGCTGGAGGAAATGACCAAATCCAACGCTTGTGCAACCTTGCGGGCATCGCCAAGGGCAAAGACAATGCAACGGCTATGAACTCAAGCGCCGCATCTATATGCTACGTTGCCTCCACTCACACGGTTTTCCCGGGCTTGATCACACACCAGACTGCAGAGACCAATGCACCTTCGGAACCTCCTGATGATTCTACACGTCCAGTACGACCTGACCCTTCTGCTGACGCCCCTGAACCTTCGGAGCCGCCCCCGGACGACTCTCGCGACACACCGAGCCACCGCGAAACCGCTGCCTCTGGCTCTCGGGACTATGCTCGCCGATCT